ACGTCTGACAATATTTTACGTTGATACTGCATTAACGGTTTATTGATATTTCACCTGGAATTAAATCAGAAAAAAAAATTAAGTACCAATATAAAATGAAGGTTTTCTAAACTATTTCAAGTGTATTTACGACACATACTGAATAATAGTTCGTCTCGATGTGCTACACTTCATACGCTTTAATACCGGACGACTATGCAAGCGATAATATCTCCTATAGGAGCCTATGATCGTAATCAATAATGTTACCTTCACTGGAACATGGCTTTTTATTGCACGTGTACCATGTGATGATTCCTTAATCAGTGAATTTATAAGACAATTTTTTTGGCTTATAATAAAAAGAACGGTATCACCAGGGCTACTAAACTTGCACGTTCATGAAGAGAATTTTATTTAACAATTTATGAAGGACAGAGCATTACAATACAGTTTGAAGTCCAAATGCTTATTTAATTCAGATAAATGTGAAAGTAAAATTAATTTCGTTTTTAAATACATATCTGGGAATAATAATAATAAAAAAACAAATTTTCTTAAATCAATATTAAAATGCAGCAGTAATGTTGTAAGGGAATGTACACCATAGGTGTTGAATTATTTATATATATATATATATATTGTGTTGGTCTTTATTTTAAACATGTCTCTAAAGATCAGTAAATATTATACCAATATATTCATGTAGTGTAGATTGCCCATTTATCTGTCTCATGGTGAAGCACTGAGCACAAGACCCTGGGTGGGGTGCTAGCCCAAACATACACACCAACTCTCCTGTCAGGACCACCTACACGGAGTGTCTCTAGACCATGGGGGGAACCGGAGCACCCAGACAGAACCCACAAGAACTAAGGGAAAGCAAACAAGCTTAGCACAGACAATGCCAAGGCACAGAACTGAAGGCACACTATGCAAGATTCAGATCACAAAGCTACCAGCAAGTTAGAAAGAAAATAGAAAATGTGTTTCGAATTATATGCATATTGTGTACTGTTTAATTCTTTCTCAAATTCAGAGTAATTAGACTTCAGTCTAATTTTGGTTCAGAAAATGACAGTGGGAAGGTTTTATCATTTGTAATATATACTAATTATTACAAAAGATTTATCTAGTAACAGTAAGTGGCAAAAGCTATGATGGATCATTATAAAGGTTTTATGACAATAATAATACTTACATTCATCCATCTACCTGCTTTTCCTGGATGGGGCTGTGAGGGTCTCAGACCCTATTCCAGGCCACATGGGTCTCCAGCCAGAGAGCATGACAGGCAGGGGGATTAATCATTCAAAAACACAATTAAATTATCTCAAAGTTCTAGTCAAAACCATGGACAGGGTTTGCTTCTGTGTACTTCTCTAGTGTCTTTCCGCAAAGGGTATGACATCGTTTAACATTGTTTACTCGAGAGGGAACAAAATGTTATGTACTCTCATGGGCATCATGATACATTATGTAAAATTTATGAATGCTGGATCCACTCACGCTTAAGCATTAATATTCATGATCTGCCTGTATAATAATTTTTCAACTGCAAGGCTTTCAGCTATTAGAAGAAGAAAGGCTTTTCAGCATATCCTGGGTGCCTTAGGTGTCATTGGTCTTGAGACCATCGGCAGATAGTTTACAAAGAGAGCATGAAAGCAAGATGTAGGAATCCCACCAGACAAGTAGAAATTTACCACAATGGAACAGGCTGTAGGATCTGCTTATTAAATATCTCATAAATAACCTTGAGTAAACACCAGTCTGCTTGGTCAAACAACATACCCACTCCTCAGTCATCTTATCTCACTAATCAAGCCCAGGAAGCAGAATTAAATAGGATGCCCATCCTACTGAAACAAACAGCAGCATCCCTTGCCAGCTGCATGGAGCAGGACTCCGAATGCATTCCCTTGGGAAGCTGACGCGCTCTCTCTCTCGCTCTCTCTCTCTCTCTCTCTCTCTCTGTGGGCACCAGGGACAGAGTTGTGTCTGCAGCAGATGTCTCATGGCTGAGACTATAAATAAAGTCAACGATTCGGGGGAGCGCCGATGCGCCGGAGAGGTCGGTGACAAGCCTGCCGCTTCTCATCTCTTTATCTCGGAGGACGATACCAGGTTTGTCACTTCCGTATTGGACGTATCCTCATGGTAGGACCGTTTTCACAGGGAAGCAGAATGGGGAGATGTCGGCAGGAGGCATCGACTCCTGGCAACATGTCAGAGACGGGTGGAAGGACAGAGAACAGCACCTCCGGGCACTGCAGGCGAACGCGAGACCAGCAGGACGCCACCATTCTCAGCTAGCTTGGCAGAACTGGCCCAGCTTCAAGGAAGAGTGAATTTTTGTGTGAAAGTGTCTCGGTTAAACAGTTGGTCATTTATTATGAAAGGAGGAAAATGACATACATGTATGTTTGTAGGGCATCTCAGAAGTACAGGTCTAAATGGAGAAGGGTTACTAATAAGCAGTGTACCCTGCAGCGTTAATAATCAAGCACTATTCCTGAATTTAACAATTTATCATGTACTGCGTTTTTTCATGGACCTACTAAATTAGACAGTGAAAAATGCCAGCATGGATTTGGCAAAAATAATTATAATTTGCTTCTTGTAAAAATGGTCATTCTCATCTTGTCAGAACAAAAGTACACAGGAGCTCCCGCATCAGATAATGTAATAAAGCAGAGGTGGTTTGCTGTGACATTTCTGCTGATCAGTCCTTCAGCTGTAGACCATGCCTGGAGGGAAGGCGCCTAAATGTTGCCCACGATGCCATTTATTGTTGACTGTTTTTGCATTCCTTGGTTCTCTGAAATGCCCATTAACTTTGATCCTGTACCTGGAATATGGGGCTGTTACCATGAGATGATATGAGTCTTGGCATTACAGCACACTGGTCTACAGCCTCGCTGTCTATATGGGGTGGTGTATGACAACCAGGATGCTTACGGTGCGCAATAGTTAAAATCTGTTAAAAGTTAAATTTATACACATAAGATCCATCCATCCATTTTCTGAAACCGCTTGTCCAATTCAGAGTCCTATCCGGGAGGCTATAGGAGGCTATAGGGAACAACCCAGGACGGGGCGTCAACCCATTGCAGTATAATTACGATAAAAAGCTTATATACTATAACATGGGTAATGGTGTTTGTATGTAGCTATTTCTAGTAGCAATGCATGATAATTCATAATTTATTATTCCCTGCAAGATTCTCATAATGCTGGTAAAATTCCATTAATAGAGGATTTCTAACACATATGTGAAATAATTAACTTGAGCATCACAGCTGGGGGGGTCTCAGATCTCACACTTTTAAGTATTTGTGAAATCTTCGTTGTGAAGGTCAGCAGGGGGGCTCAGCGCACAACTCTGCTTCACAACCTGCCATGATCACGCATAGCGCCTCTAATTAATGTTTGCAGTGATTAATGATTAACGTTACTGTGACTGCATTTTAACGGAGTGTCTCATTTAAACAGGTACGAACTAAGCGATGCTTGAAACAGTGGCGTTTAATAATCGTTGGCAGAGCTTAATTTGCTTTAATTGTGCTACATATAAGTTGTAGGGATTCATTAGCAGTGTCAGAGTTGTGAATTGGCAGGAGAAATATGCACTGATTTTGTCTGTGGGCTGAGGGACACAAAAAAAGGAGACAGTGACCTTTAATTCATGAAAATGCCGAACCACGTTGGATTTGAATTCCATTTGTTGGATTTTTTTAATTAATTAAAACATATTTTATTAATCACGGTCATAAATGGTCCAAGGTTAGTACTATTTTACTTAAGATGATTAAGTACGATGCTTCATCAGAAAGGAGATGAGCTCTTGCTGTTTGTGTTCGCTTGGTTTCGTCATATTCATCCAAGCCTTTGGGTGTCTTGCCCTGCCAACTGCTATTAGAACTTCGTAACTGAATTTACTCTTCATATGCAGATTTCATCAGGCTTTGTAAGATTAATGTTCAAACCCTGTATTATGTTTTTACAGGCAAGGCTGCAGAGGCGAAGAACCCCCCGATGTGAAACTGGACTTGCGTGACATCATGTTTTGGCATGTTAAGTAGAACTGTAAAGTATGACTGGACTCCAAGTGCATTACATCAGTAAATCGGTTTGCTGCTTAATCACTGACCACAGGTCCTAGTCCTTAGCTGAAGCACTGTTGTGGTCCAAATGATGTGCAGCAAGTTCTTTGCATTACCTGCATTTGCATTTACCGGCACTACCTGTGCTTCTAAGGACATTAATCAACACCTTCCTGATTCAACAGTGCCATGGTAAAATGTCTTTTAATCCCTTTAGTTCTGGATTTTGGTGGCACGCCAGCGTTTGCATAGTTTTCAAATATCTCAAATGTTATGCATGTAATTGTATACTGGGGGTAGCATGAGGCCCAGCAGGGTGGGACACTGTGCCTGTGATTGGAAGGTCAATGGTTCAAATCTTGCAGTCGACAGTGAATTGCACCACTGGGTCCTTGAGCAAGGCCCTTAACTCCCAGATGCCCCAGGGATCAGCTGACCCTGCTTCCTCAAAAATCTGTCGCTTCTGATAAAAGCATCTAGTAAAATGTACTGTAAAGCAACAGATTTTTGGACTGGGTGCTGCAAAATGTTTCATATAATAAAAGCCCTTTAAACATGATGTGGTCTGATGGAATGTCACCTTCCTTGTAGTTCAGATTTACATTTTGTCTCTACAAACTGACCTTTTCCTTACTTCATTTCCTTCTATCCTTTACAGATCTGACCTAAGATGCCACCTGACTCCAAACACTGTGACATGCCCACAATTACTGGCTGAATACCAGAACGCCTCTGACACTTCTCAGTCATTATTCAGCTGTCCCTGCCCATCTCAATGAAATGTAGCACCAAGTGATGGGGGGGGCATCTCAGAAGTCTAATATCATGGGAAATAATGAAGCCTCTTCATTGTTTTTTTATGATTATGCTTCAGCACTGACCACTGGTGTTTAAGCAAACACAGACATCCTCAGCTTCATTAGTCCAACTGATTTATTGGATTCTTAGACAACAAACAGATGTTTGATCAAACTTAAAAATTGTAAAATGCATAAGTTTATTTCTTCAATTTCAAACAAATCAATATGGATCAAGAAACTAAAAGGAGGGAAAAAAAACACACTGTCATATTAGTCAGGATTAATGTGGGTAAATACTTCACCACTGGCAAATCCCACTTATATTCCCAAAACTCAATTTTTATTCACTCCCTTTCAAGTGAGCTCCCATGAAAGTGAGACTGTGGAAAGTGCACTTAATTTGTATGGAGCAACTTCAACCTGCTGTCATTTCACAAAGGGCTATTTCCTACAAAACCTCACTTTCCATACAAATGGTCAGTAGCTGTAAATATTGATTTTATCAACATCAGCAAAGGAGACAGAGAGGTTGTTCATCCCCTTAAACTGCAAGGATATCATTTATATATTGCTACACAAAAAACAATCACATTATATTCCATGTGTAAGGATATTGTGAATTTGTCTACAAAAACACAGCAAAATTTTATTTAAAAGTATCCGAACACAAAGTGTCTGATGGTATTAGAATTAGTTAGATTCAATACTAAAATGTAACTGATGACAGCTCAAAAATTAAAAAAGAAGTCCCTTTTTATTTTAATAATCCAAAAAAGAAAAAAAAATTACAACTGCTATATGTATTCAGGAAACTGAAACTAAAAACACAGAAATGCAAGGAAATGTAAATTGAGACCAGGTGAGAGAGTTTTAAAGGCTTACATTAGGTGTTTGAGCCCCGACACGGTGCCAGGCTTTGCTTCATGGTTGAGGTACGGTGCTGTGCCATGCCTCCCCCCCCCCCCCCATAAGGCTTTGCGGTGTCGACGTCTTATTGTTCGCCTGCAGAAGAAGCCGCAGTCTATGTGAAGCTTTGCAGCAACTCAAGCAGTCAATGAGGCGCGTTTATCACAGTATGGTCAAGTCAATCGAACAATAATTCCTATTTTAAAAAAAGTCCCGACGGGTAGATTTTAGAACAATTATGTCACGTAAAAAGGCTTCTTAGCGAACAGAAGCAGGCTGAAGGTAATGCAGATAAATTCTAAAAAAGATCATTCCTCCCCAACATGGTCCAAAGACCACTTCTTTATTAAAATATATATATTACATATAAAAGTAAGCTTTGAAGATTGGACTGAACACGTATCCCCAGGTTGGCAGCAGATCAGTGGGGATTCAATCCAAGGACTGTGTGGATCTTCTCTCATCACAATGCTGGATGCTGGAAGACGGTCAAGGTTTCGAGGGGAAAGGAGCGGCACCAAAAGGATCCAGCTCCACCTGCGCCGACTGCTGCGTTACGCCGTGGACCATCTCTGTGAACGGCACGGCCCCAAAGTCATCCATTTTATTCCCGTCACTGAACGTGCTCTGCAAAGATGTGGCTCGAGGTCTCCCATTAGAGCAGCCGATGTCCCCTTGATGCTGAGTGTGCCAGCCAGTGTCTTGTGGATGAAAAGGTTTGGCACCAAATGGGTCCAGAGTGACCTCCTCAGCCGGCAAGGGTGTTCCCTTGTCTTTGACATCCCCAACGCTGACGCTGATGTTCTCCTTGGAGTCAGAGGCGCTGAGGAACTCGTTGCTGCTCTGAGAGTCTCTCCTGCCCACTCGCTTGTGTCGCCGGACACGTTCCGGCGTACGGAAACTGGGCTTGCCCGTCTTCCTGCCGCTGGTGGGGGTCCCGTGGTGACGCTTACCATTGCTATTGCTGGTCTCCTGTTTCGTACGTCTCTGCCTCGAAGAGAGCTTCTGAAGGCTACGCTGCTTTATCTTTTGTTGTTGGCTGCCGCTCTCTTCGAAGGGGACCTGGCCAAAGACATCCTCTGTGGTCGCAGAAAGTGGCAGTGAATGGCCAGGCTGGAAAGGAGAGGAGCCGAACACGTCCACACTGTCGGGGGACACAGGGGGCGTTTGTCCTATTGGAGCGTCAATGCTCTTGTTTGTTCTGGACAAGTTTCTATTGAATGGGGCTTTGGTAAATACATCAAATTCATCCATAATCTGCTCCTGGCTGGCCTGTCTGAATGGGGCCTTGGCGAAAATGTCACCACTTTCAGCTTCGGGTTTGGCCTGTTCACTGTCGAGGAAAGGCACTGCTCCGAAGACATCCTTCGTGCTCACGACGGGCGACTCAGGGGGCGTGATCAGACTGGAGCCGGACTCCGCCCTGGCGGCTCCCTCCGCTGTACTCGCTGCTTTTCGCTCTGCTGGGCTCCTTGCCAGCGCTTTGCCCTTCTTCTGGTCGTCGTCAGAATCGGAGCTGTGCTTTTCTTCATCCTCCTCGTCAGAATCCATGAGCAGGGGGCGCTGCCCGAGGTTCTCGCATTCTGTGTAGTCGTTGAACTCCCCATGCTCACTGTTCAGCCCTTCGTCTTCCTCAATCTCCTCCTCCTCGCTGCTCTTTGGAGACGGAGGATCTGATTCAAAGTCGCTGTCTGACTCCTCTCCTGCTCTGCACTGCAGGCCAGAAGAGGCGCTTCTCTTGTTGGATTTGCACTCTTTCGCCGGTTGGTCTTCAGCAGCGGGATGAGGCTCCGGCGTGGGCTGCTCTGGGGTCTTCGTACTGGCATCTAATGGGTTAAACCAGAAAGAGATCCTGGGATGAGAGAACTGAAGACGTAATGAATGTGTGCCAACCAGTGTTTTAATTATAACCTAATTTGTGCTCACAAATGATCAGGAGCTATCAAAAACTACAGCACTGCACACAATTTAGAGATGCTGCTTCAGTCACTACTAGGCCTCACAGTAGCAACGGAATAGATAAACGTTATTTTCGCAAGTTAATGCTTCACGCCTGTAAAGTGGAAATGTCTGTTTTCAGTTTTCCAGGGAGCTATACGGAGGGCATGGCAGGAAATTTTTACCGAGCAATTTCAAAGGAACAGAGAGGACAATAAAATGTCACGTGACCCAAAAGCTGTTATCTATTACACTACCCCAGAACACCACACGAAAAACCGCCAGGAAGCGTGTGTGAAACAGACTCGTGTTTCGTGAGCAGACCAGAGCCTGACTCTACAGCGGTCGCTTCTGTGCATGGATTGGCTCGTGTAGTACGTTGTGATATAGGAGCACTAAAGCAAACCCTGGTCATCAGAATAAGAAATTTTGTAAGCAGAAATGTCTTATAATATACAAGAAAGATGGAAAATCATGGGTAATACTGAAGTATCAGAAAATACAAATCAAGACAGTATTCTTTAGAGAGCACAATAGTAATCCAGTTTTAATACTGCAAATGTGTTTGTGCACAGCTCACTTACTACTTTAACTCAATGCCTTACTCACTGTGCTATACTCATTCGTGCTGGAAAAATGTGGAACCAGGCATGAGAGAGACAGGGAGACTGAAAAGGCATCTTAGACTGCAGCTCAGGGCTGGAGCTACTCCTGTAAATGCTGGTACTGTACAGTCAGGTGGAGCAATTCAGTCTAATGGCAGGGCAGTCCGATAACAGATTAACATTTAGCCTTTTATGCCTGTGCTTCTGTGCGTTAAGATTATAAACAGCATGACTAACACATGCAGCCGGCGTGTAAGAAGTACTCCAGTCCTCGTACCTCGGAGAGGTAGCTCAGATGCATCACTCATCAGGCATGTTACAGGTCTGGCATATATTATGTGAAGTGAGACAGCCATGTTAGCAAAACCATCTTGTACTGATTATGTAGTGGTGGGTGACACAGGAAACTCTGGGAAATGAGCGAGGGTGCGGGGGTGGGGCAGGGGGCGGGGCAAGCTCCCCAGGGACCTGAACATTAGCTAACAAAATAAAGTGACAAAAACTAGATTTGTTTTTTAATATGCTTTATTATCATTATTTTTAAAGAGCAGCACATCATTCAGTATTACATTATGATACATATTTATAGGCCTTTACAGAGTATTTCTGTGCAAACAGCTGTTAAGTTGAAACACTGAGGGGGTCTGGCACTGCAGCTGTAAGCTTCCAACACAGGAGGACACAGTTTGAGCTCTAACACGACACACAGCAGGTCTGGCCGCTTCCCCATGGCTGCTAGACGAGAGTAGGCGATGGCAGCGTTATGCTCATGTCGCAGTAAGTGGGGGGGAAAAAACTGGGAAAAATTAAAATAAACCATAATAATCTGGCCGTAACCAGTAATACACTATACTTCTGTAAACGGAATGCATTTTAATAAAAGGTTCTTTCAAAATGCATCGTTTTGCCCACATTTCAAAAGTATAGCTAATTTACACACCTACCCACCAGTACAAAAGTGAAAGATGGTCTCAACATGGCTGTCTTACTTCACCCATAAAAGCGGCAAATGAATTGACTGACTGGCAGTGAGATGTTTGTAAAGTAAGTTGAGGGGGAAAAAAAAAAACAAATGAGATAAATCCCATTAGAAAAACAGCCCCAATATGCTGTCAACTTACCTTTGATGACCAAAAACTTACTTGTGTATGGACATAAATGGATATGTAAAAATGCACAACAAGTGAGTGTATGAATCTCACACACATATGTAATAAGTATGAGGTCGACTCCTATGGAAGGACAATGAATGATGTAATGTCACGCTCTCCTCACAGCGTGCTCACAGACAGGCTGTACTAGCTGCAGACTGAGGCGCACGGTGAGGCTCCAAGGCACTCTGTGTGTGGCTAAACCAACCTGGCCCCTTCCCTTTAACTGCGAAAATGGACTCTGCACCATGAAGATCTTCGTTCACTTTCATGTGGCTAGTAAATTCAACCTTACACACAACAATTAAATGAATGCTAACTTGAAACACAAATACACATTTAGAAATGAAAAAAATTGCAATCACAAAAATACTATTTTAAGACGCGGTCCCATCAACCTTTTCCAGAAATTGCCTTTAATTAAAATAGAAAATAGTGTCAGAGATATGTGACGTTATCCACCTTAGTAAGGTGGGACCAGGGTCGAATGCTCTGCAATGGTATTCTGCCCAGCTACAGTACACCCCCACCTTTGTATCGGAGGTAAACTGCGGTGCCAGGCTTTTTGAAAGCAAATCAATACAACATACATTAATGAATGCAGTAAATCAAGTGTGCTTTACTGTAACATTACTCTAACATTACTCTAACATGCTTCACAACTGAACTCATTCTGCAGGACAGGACATTTTTTCCAGAATGACCAGTGTAGAAACTTTAACTAGTTCACAATTTTCAAAAAGCAAAACATAATACAATAAAGCTGGATCTGTCATTATGGTTTCTGAAACGACCACCGTAGACAGCTTTTTTGGCCCCTTGAATATAAACCAGAGTTTTGGAAGAACTCTGACGTAAACGATCATTTTTAATTCTCATTGTTATTCTGTTGCCTTTTTACTCCCTGTGTTGTTGGTACGATCAAGAAGAAATTAAGCCCTTTAAGGACTCGCAGCAAGGATCATCATCAGCAAACCATGGGCCTCCGTCGAGACCCAAGTGCCTCTACACCTGCCAAACTAGCTTCCCTTATGGCATCACCACAAAAGTAAACCATCAAGTCCACTTCCATTATGTCCCATCTTTTCTGATTAGTAAAAGCAAAAGTAATTACCTACACTACTCCACTTAGTGGCAAGAGCTTATTCATGACAGGTAAACGTGCAAGTGGCTTTCCCTTGTCGAGCAGAATGACACGCACAGTGAATCTGTCTATAATGGCTCATGACATTCACTGCTATACATTAGCGAGCGGGAAGATGCATGTGATCTCCCCTCTACCGCTTTGATCTTGTGTTTCTTCTCCTGTCCAGGTACTTAAAAACCCTGAGTTAACCCTTGGGGGTAACATGGACGGTCATTCTTACCTCCCAGTAAATGAGCAGGAATTCAGGCAAAGCATTAGACTGAGAAGGAACACTTTGCCTGTACATAAGCCTTGCACAGTGCTAAGGTAGATGGGAGGCTAATCTGCTCAAAGACAGGTCAGTCACCTCTCGGGGGGAGAGAACAATTTAGTACACAACAAAAAGCTTCAACTGAATTTCTTGAAATAACTATCAAGTTATAATCAAATGCACACCTCAGTAATACAGAAGCACCAACGAACAAAAACTTAGTTAACCCACAGCGTTCCACGGAGCAGGAATAACCCCAGAGCACATTCTTGCACCTGTCTGCTACAAGCTAAAGCAGCTAACCAAAGCCAATGACAAACCATCCATTTTAATAGATGATGCTTCTTGCTGGAAGTTCCTAACAGCGTACATTGGTAGTGTAAAGGCCCATTACGGTTTTTCCACTTTAAAAACGGGATGTGTGCAGAACCAAAGCAAGTTAATACAGGAAGCCCCCAGAAAGCTCACAGTAAAATTAGGTTAATCTTAAATGTATGTTGGAAGTACTGTTAGTCTACTTCTAACACTAAATCAAAATAATGACAGCAGGCAACCAAACCACTTAGCTCTTCTTGTTAACTGTAAAACAATGAACATCTGCCAGTTTCTCACTGAAGTAGCTACTTGGTGATGCATGGGGCATCACAGTTAGATGCGCAGTCAGGACTGGCCAACAGCACAGGCACAGCCTCTGCACTGATCCGGTTTCTGACCAAGTCAACCACAAGCCAATAGTACAGCAGCACACACACGATTGGCTGCGCGCGTGTCCTACGCATGAGGTCACCGTGAGCACGGCTTCCCGCTCCCGAAGCTCTAATTAGCGTTAGCAAAGACGTGTCGGCAGTTGGGAAGCTAACACACAGACACAAAAGCCAAGGATTTCAATGGTTGTTCTTCAGAGGTTCCTTAAAACTTGCCTGGGCTGGACAGAAAAGGTACAGAGCCAAAAAGGTCATCCTGCAGAGGCTCTGAGGGCAGCTGCTTCCCTACGCTGAGGTCTACACTGGCTGCTCCCTCCGTGGGCTTTTCTGTCAGAGGACGGAGAAGGGGGTCTCGTTAAACAAGTCCTGACATCAGCATGGCAGCCAGCAGGCTCTTCTGTTGGTTGTAGGCTTGAATTGTTTAGAAGCAAACTGCTGAACTGCTACACGACAGAGCCACACACACACAAGCCAAACGTGTGTGTGTGTGTGTGTGCGTGTGTGTCTTACAGCAGCACAGAGCCAGGACAATAAGTCAAGCTTGTTAGCTTGCTAACACAGCCATTTATGTAAGACAAATGTTGGTACATGACGCACACATCTCAGTGCTGACACTAAGTGTTCATTTATGAATGTGGATGTGACTGAATTTGATGTGAAAGAAACGTAGTCATTTGAATTACCCTAAACCACATAATTGAAATATCCCTGAAAACTGATGATATAAAAAAAGGCATAATTTCCAAATTTTAAGAACACAGACGTTTCAGAAGCTGTTCTGCTAATGAGGACAGAATGAATCAAAACTTGCTCGCTCTCAGGAGGTCAAACTCTCTGTCCAGCAGGTCCTCTTCAGTCATCTTGGAGAAGTTGTCTTCTCCGAAGGGATTCCATCCTGACATATCAGGGGGATTACTGATGCTCTGTGGGGGAGGGGTAACCACCTCTGAACTCACGGAGGGGTTTCTACCAAAGAGAGAAGCAAATTTTGGGTCACTGCAGATTCTGCGTCTTACCTTCTTCTGCGAATCCCATGAACAATTCAAAACGAAGGTCACAGCGACAAGATAGACAGTGGACCCATGGTGTTTGGAGGGGTAGCGTAAAATGGATTTGCTGGGTAGAGATTCACATACACCATCGTGGTTACAGTATGGGGATGGCAGGACTGTTACCTGGTGTTAGTGAATGAAGGTTCCACAGCGACAGGCCCCATGCAACCCAACCCAGAAGGGCTAAAGTTCGTGTGGGAAGCCTGGAATTCCAACGGGGAGGTGTGATAGGGGACCTGCTGATGATTGGGATGTTGGTGTTGCTGCTGCTGTGCAAAGGCCTGCTGATACTGGTGCATCTGTTAAAGGAGGTCAGAATGCTGATTCAACACACCGTGTATGGTCTTCAACGCACACACACAAGGGACAACTCCACATCCAAAAGCTAAGAGGACAAATGGAGGTAATTATGACGCTCAAGGCTTTGAGATGATCATTGCATCACACTGTGGTTAGTAGACAAGAGAATCACACTATCCACCGGTTAACAGAGTAAACAGTGTGAGGCTTCAGCTCCAGGGTGAAAATATAATATACATAATTTATGTATATTATTTTATTTGGGTTAAGAAACTTATATAGCTCCCAATCTCGAAAATAGAGCCTAAGGTCGACAATTTTCTTACTCGATCCGCAAAACAAAAAGGGGAAAAAATACAGGAAACCACTCGCTTAACTTATTTAATTAATAAATAGTAAAAAAAAAAAAAAAAACAACAACAGTATTTGTTTGTTACATGGAAAACTTTGCAGTTTTTGAGGTACTTCAAATAAAGTGAGACAGAGGTCAAAAGACCATGCAGCTCCATCCTCCACAGGCTAACTGCTTAATAATGACCTCCCCTCTCACGCTATGCGACACTCTTAAAGGCAAACACTAACTTAAATATCTGAAATATTACCGTAAATAAATCACAAAATAATCTCCATCGGCAACATAAGACCTATTACACCTTCAACCCATAAACCCGAATCAATATGTAACAAATTATCACAAGTATATTAATGATCCTACAACAGGTAATTTCAACCATTAAAACGATATAATTCTCCACCTTGAATAGTATTATGTGATGGACTGCTAACCAATATGCAGGTCACAGACACCCCGCAGATGGAAATGCACAGCTGAGAAACTCGACTAAACCACTCCACAGTGGGAAGAAAGAAACAGGGATTCAAATGGAAGGATAGGACTTCTCCACACTCCCCCTGTTTTCACAAAGCAGGGTCACTAGCAGAAAAAGCTGGCAAATTCACAGAAATCGAAAGAAACCGTTAGACGAAGGGAAGCTGCTGACTGAGGGTGAATCATGTGCTAACCCTCCGATTGCTTTTATAAAGACTGACTCGCCCCGGGCCGTTTGTGGACACTGCATCACAGATGTAGCTGCTGTCTGTCAGAGCGCGATCCACACGCGGGAAAGGGAGGCTCTTACCATGGCCGCGTACTGGGCCTGCTGCTGATACACAGGCTGCATTGCCATCTGCTGGCTGAGCATGTGCGGCTGCTGACGCATCTGGAGGGCCTGGTGGTACTGGGAGGAGAAGATACACATCAACACTGCAGGACACAGAAACAATGCAGGACAGCCGCCATCTTAGAATAGCTCAGCACTTGAGATGCCAATCTGAAAATAAAATTAGTTTGTGAAACTTAGTTATTAAAATTACACTGCCTGCTTTTGGATGACAGGCTGATGGCATTATTTGCACAAATCTCTTACATTTTTATTCATTAAAAAAGGAGGGAATCACTGAGCCAGTACAACATCAAGACAAAATCCTTGCCCAGTATCCTCAAACTACCTTCAAAAATACACCTGTGCTAAAGGTGTGTTTTTAACCATTCAACTGTGGAAATATGCGTGATACTGCCTACTCTGCATTTGTTGAAGTTAGTGATGTAAGAGTAAAGCTCACCTGCTGTAGGTAGATAAGCTGCTGCTGATTTGGTTGCTGCTGATGCTGCTGCTGAAGCTGTTGTTGTTGGAGCTGTT